ATATTACATTTAGGTAGAATTGTTTTTGCTAAAAGTATGTGTCTCCTATTTATATAAAGTTGGTATAGAAAATGACAAATTTTTATTAATGATATTTTATAAAGTATAAATACTAGATTGGAGTAGATTTCTGATAAAAGAAAGATTTACTGCATAATTAAAGTTTAATTGAGATTGTTGTATAAGATGTTAGGTGTTTTGATAATGTCTTAATTTCTCTAGTTAAAGATAGGATTAAAAAAGCCAATGGTAATATAACCTCCATCTTAGATCTATATTCATAAAACGTAATTTGATATACTTACCAAAGGTCTCATCACGAATTTTATTAGTATTTTGTGAAGACTGGTCTATTATATCATGAAAATATTCTTTTCCATCTGTAAACAGGTCAGAAAAAAGTAGAGGTTCTAAATTAAAATCATATATAGAGATTGATATATGTAAATTATCATTTTTTTGAATAAAACCTGCTATTAATCTCATATAGTAGAAGTCTTCATTATATACTTCATCAGAAAAGTTGTAATTAGGTATGATAATTTTGAGAATTGATTAGAGATGTATCAGTATTAGTATTAGGATGTATAGCTATTTGAAAAGGACCATTTGTATTTGGTCTTTAGTTTATGAATAGCATTTCAGCAAATAGTTGAAGGTAAAGTTTATTATGTGATAATTAAATAGCAGCTTGTTATATAATCTTATTATGAATTAGATAAATATTATTATCATTATTATTATCGTTTAGTTCTAAAAAAACACCTAAGGTTTTAGAGTAAAAGGCAAGTTCTCTAACATTTCATGAATAGTTCATTGCAACTGTTAAACTTTTATATTCTGAATATGGATTACTATTGGAAGTTTTTCCTAAGAAACAATATAAATATATAGGTGATAAGTATTTTCTTTTATAAAGAGAAACTGAATTGATTTCATTTGATATTAAAGATAGATGAGGAAAGATGTATCTTGTTGAAGGTTTCCTACAAGAGTCACATGTAGAAATTCTTAGATTAGTAATCCTATTTACATTAGGGTTGAAGGATAAAGTAACATCTGATACATGCTGCTCTAAGAGATAAGTAATCGAAGGATCATAGACTATCTATGAAGTCTTTTCAGGATATAAGAGTCTTCTGTATATACAGGCAATTTGAGGCCATTGAGTTAGAATATTATTTTGGAATCTATGATTAGGGATGGAAAATGATATATTTAAGATAAGTTTAATATTTTTATTTAATATTATGTAATAACATTTGGTAAATTTTTAATATTATAATATATTACATAAGATGATTATTCTAAAATAAAAGGCTAATTTATCCTAGACCTGATGTATAAATAATTTATTTTAAATAGATTCACATGATAGGTACAACTGCAATTTAGAATAAAGGTTTATACTCAGAGTATAGGTTAAAATCATCAAATGAAAATAAAAAAGTTATGTCTTAAATCACATATTATCTTTACCTGTTATATAGATTCTGTAATTTAGGACAGGGTCTCCAGCGTGAAACTGGTGGTGGTGGTGTTTGTATTAGACGATTATCAGTTGAGGTTGATGGCAATATGAAATTAAGATCATCTGCATATAATGTGTTATCATTTGATAGATCAACTAATGTTTCATATTCATTATCAAACCTAAATATATCACGAATTTGATGGGTCATTTTTTTTGTGAGGAGGGAATCTGATTAAATTAATGTATATTTATTTATAAGTAAAAAAAAAAAGAAAAGGTGATAATCGAATGTATTGATTAAATTTTTTGGGAGGCTTTTTTTTTGACTGATAAGAAATTTATCACTTATTATTTTTATGTATATTATTTATCTATTTAACTTATTTATATACACGCTTTTAAAATATGTATTTTATTTTATTTTACTTAAATTAAATTCATTTATAAAACAAAAAAATAAAAAAATTTTTATGAAATTATTTTTATTTATTTAAAAAAAACTTATATATTTATTATTTTAATCTAGATATGCATATAGTATAACTTCATAGTTTGGAAATGAAAGAATCTATTAAAAAAATTTTATCCTTTATTTACGAAATTATAAATTAAATAAAAATATTCTAATTATAATGTTAAAATGACGAAAGCAAAAATATCGCAAAGGGATAAAGCAGGATTTTTTAAGGTGTATACAAAAGGGTGAGTGTGATACATCGATAAATTAGATTTTATTTTAAAAATTAAAATAATAAATTATAATTAATTTTTTTAATAAAAAAAAAAATCAAACATTACTTATTAATTTTAATTTTTTTCTTTAGCAGCATTGGTGACATCAGTCCCTACATTAGAGGTAGCTGCAATCATTTCAGCAGGAATAGGATTTGATTCCAGAACTTCTGAGAGGCGAATTCTGGTTGAATCCATTTGTGCTAGCGTTGTTCAACCTCTCTTTGATCTAGGGGTCGCGCCTCGCGAAATACGATTGGATTTATTATTACTGCTGCTGCTATTGCTTGTAACCATGGTAGATTTAGACTGCTTTTATTATTATTAACATTATTGCGGGTGGATATCAGTGATATATTTTCAAGCTTAATTATATGCTTTCCGGGTGTCCTTTCCTCTTGTGTAATCTCATCATATACAGGGGGTTCATAAGCAATCAGGCCTACCAACACAGCTGTAGTCGATCTCATCATCGTTTGATTAATTGCATTCATTTTATTTGCTAGGTATCTCAGGTTCGGATCATAGGTCGCGTCCACCCAAAACTCCCGGGGTTCCCTTTCTCCTAAATTTTCTTCGACATAGAATTCCAGATGGTGCTTTCCATCAATATTTTTGACAGTCTTGGTTGTAATTCCGATGACCATGACGCTAATTCCTACCGATGGCATTTTGTCAAAATCCAGGTTTCCTAAGACTTTGATGGATGTGGCATTTACCTTAAAAGAAGTAGAGAAGACATTTAATTTTTTTTTGAAAATTAAGATAAAAAATATAATTAAACAAAATAAATTATGGTACTTACCGAATACCACCCTACACATGCAATAAATTTGCCTCTTAAAAAAATCACATCTCCTGTATCAAACTCTTCTATTTGGGTTTCGATATCCCGGTCTGAAGGGATGAACGCCTTAATTTTTAAATAAATTACCTTTGTTGCGTCATCGTCCGATAACCTTGATACCGCCGTAATCTCTTTGACAGTGAAGTCTTGTGTAAGACGTTCCGTAGATTCGTGGACATAAGCAATGGTAGAAAGTTTTGCAGGCATTTTTTTTTTAAAAAATTTTTAATTAAAAAAAATAAAGATAATGATAATTTTAATTTTAATTAATTTAAAATAATTAAATAATTTAACAGGTATCAAAAAATAACCCCCCTTTTTTATACAAACATAAAAAAAAAAAAAATTTTACCTATTCTACGATAAATTTCTTTTTCCTTTAATAAAAAAATCCAAGCCCGATCAAAGCCTATTACAATCGATAATTAACTCCATAATTAACTCTAAAAAATAACTAAAATTTTTCGAATAAAATATAAACCAAGCCCGGTAGAACGGTCCGTTAATATTTCGTTCGAAAATAAAATAAAGACCAAGCCTAGTCAGGACGGTCCGTAATTTGCCTTCGAGGGTAGGGAGAAATAATCCGAAACGAAATCTACTATTGGTAATCGAGTGAGAATCCTAATCGATTATGATTAGGATTAAGAGTACTCTATATTCAACTTTGTAGGTTAACTTGCGTAAGGCGATCTCACCAAAAAAGAATATACTTTGCAAGTGTTTTGATGATCTTTGACCGGGAACCTCATGGGGACGATTAATACTTTGATAAAGAGCACGAGACTTGTCTTACTTTGTACAAAGACCGATTAGGAAAAAAAATAGGTCTGTTTTCTATTCTACGATAAAAAATCTATGTAATGTATTCCAGGGACTTGGTTCGGTGCAGTATGTGATAAAAGTAAATTCTGTGAAATTTTGTGATTTGGCAGGAATTAAGCAAGGTTGGCCAACATTACGATAGTAAATTCTGGCCAAATTTAGTGCCTGCCGGAATTAAAATGATTGCAAATCCTAAATTAGGCCAAATTTTGTGATTTTCGTCCCTGGTTCGGTGTGAAAATCCTATTTGTCACTTTATTTGTCACACCTCTAGTCATGTGAAAATTATCATCGAAAAGATTGAATAATTGATAAAATAAGAAATACATTCAAACATGTGTGTCGCACAGTTCTAAAATCAATATATTATATTGATACAAACAAAAAAAAATTAATTTTTCTATTTTTTTAAAAAAAAAAATAGGAAGTTGCGAAAGATAACGGGGGAAAGAAAAATTGTTCTGGAATATATTTTTATTTTTTATGACCATCGATTAAGAAATGGAAATTTCTTTTTTGTCGATTTAAACAAATAGAAAAAGAAAAAGAAATTTCCAAAGATCAAAAAACTTTGTTCTATAGAAAATTCTTCCTCATGCAATCAAAATTTAAAGAAAAGAAACCTTAAAAAAAAACAACAATACGTACGATGCGTACACAAAGCTCACCAAAACCGGGTTTCCGAATTCTTAAAATGGAAATGTTGGAAAGGTATTCTTAAATGTTTAAATAAAGAATCAGAGTTAAGCCATAAACGAAAATTTCATAAAATTAATTTGTTTGTTTCAAAAAAGAATTTTTCGATGCTTGGCGTAAGTGTAACCGCGACATTATTCTTTAGAAAAAGTTTGAAGCATTCCTTGTATGTAACCTTTTTCTTTGAATCAAAGGTTTTACATTACTCGATTACTACGTATTCTACATGATATGGTAAACTCCTTAAGAAAAAATTATTGAATCAACCATGAGACTTGCAATATAAATAGCGATGGTTTCATTTTTGAAATTACAAAAAAAAAAAAAAAATCTAAAAAAAAAAAAAAGCAAAAGAACAAATAACAATATCTGACAATCAAAATAATAATAAAAATCGCTAATTTATTATAAATTATTAAATATACAATGTATTTAACTCAAGAATCGACCGATTTATTCTTTCAATTTCCTCCTTCTCCCATCAGTTCAGAGTCAACTTTTCCTAATAATAATTGTGAAAATTTTCAGGTTCAAGTTGATGATATCATTGTTAAAAATCTTTTGAACATGATCCCTCCTCCAATTACGGTCAAAGAATTTGTTGAAAGTAATTCTTTTGCAACTTCAGATGGTCACATTAAAAGACCATCCAATTGTTTCATGATTTTCCGTAAAATAGCACACGGGCAGAAGAACAAGACACCAGCTTTAGCACATTATAACGAACGTGAGTTTTCTAGAATCATAGCTAGGATATGGAACAATCTTACCGAAGATGAGTTAAACATCTATAAGGATTTGAGCAAAGAAATTGTTGAAATTCATCGTATCAAATTCCCTGAATATAAATATACACCGAAAAGGAATAAGACCGTATGGAAGCATTTCGTTCGCCCAGTTGAAAAAAAGAATAAAAGAAAAGTTGGCGTAAAAAAATCAAAAAAACAAAACCATATTACATCGAATTTTCCGTATACACCACCTGTACTTGAAAGCGCAAATATCAATTGTTGGCTGAATTTAAGTAATTAGAATAATTTATTAATTAATTAGTTAATTAGAAGAATTTCTCCCGGCAATTTACACTTTTTTCTTTTGTTTATATATTCTTTTTTCAAATATATTTTTTCTCATTTTGTACATTTTTCTTGTATTTATTATTTATATTGATATAAATGTGAAACTTTAAATAGATGTATTTTACAATAACGATAACCTTTTTATAATAAATTTAACATTTTAAACAAATAAGTGAAGTATTTCAACAGTTGAGATTCACATTTCTTTTTTTTTTTTTAAAAAAAAAAAATAAAAGAAATATATTATGCAAATAAAAAAAAAGCATAATAATCCTTTCTTTAGATTATTATTTCTAATGAAAAGCACCGATAAAAATATTTATTATGTAAACATCCATTCCTACTCTTTCATTTTGAAAATATGAGCCGTGATGTCGAGTTTTTTCTAAGTATGTTCACTTCGGGATTTAGTAAAAAATTAAACTTTAAAATGTTAATTAAAAAATCCATAAAATTAAAGGTTTAGTGGTTTTATCAAGTTCAAAATAGTAAAAATAGTAAAAATCATTGATTTTTAAAAGACGTGTTTTACAAAAAAAAAAAAAAATTAGAATTTCTTAATTTCTATTTAATTAAAGTTTTAATTTTATTTTATTATGTTTAAAAAAGATTATAAAATAAAATTAAAATACTAATTATTTTTTGATATTTTTAATATATTTTGAAATATTTATAAAAATTTTAAGTTTAATAAAATTGAAAATTTTCAAAAATTTATTATACTTCATTAAAAAAATATTATAATATTATAATTTTTGTTAACTATAAAATCATGATAATAAAGAATATTTTATAAATTTTATTATCAAATTTATAATAATATTAATTAAAATATAATTATTAATTTAAAAAAACTGATTTAATTATTATAATTATAACAAAAATATTTAATATCTTACTTGTATAAATAAATATTAATTATAAGTAAATTTATTCTTTTTTCTTTTTAAATTAAAATTTAATTTAATAAAATTATATTAATTTATTATTTTTTATATTTCAATTAAAATTAATTTATATTAAATTAATTTTAAATAAATAATATGTAATTATTAAAATATTTAATTTTAATTTAAATATTATTTTATATATTATATATAAGATAAATACTAATATATTATAATATAATATAATTATATTATATCATAATATACTATTTAGATAAGTTATCTTTTAAACTGTAGAGCAGGCAAATTTGTTTATGAAACATAAAAAAGTATTAATTTTTATTAAAAAATAAAATATTAATATTAATAATATAATTATTATATAAAAAATATAGATTAATATATATTTTTATCAACTTTATTAAAAAAAATTTATTAAGAAATTTTTTAAAAATTTTCTTAAAATTCATATGTTTTCAAACTAATTGAATTACTTTACTATTAATAAAAGAATAAAATTTTTTAATAATTATAAAAATTGTAATAATTAAAGTTATTCTTTATAATATAAATTTTATAATATTCTATTATGATTAAATTGCTAAAATAAATATTAATAAGATGGTTAAAGATTAATAATAAAATTTTTTAATTTATAATTTTTTTAAAAATTACAAATTTTTAACTTATAAGTAACCTTAAATTATTTATTATATAATTAAAAACTAAAATTTACTATAATATTATATATATTTATAAAATTATTTAAAAAAAAAAAAATTTTTAAAAATTTTAATTTTTCATAAAAGTAAATTAAAAGGGAATTTATAATAAATAAGCAGATAAATTTACTTGCGAACCTTTACAATTTAAGGGATAAAGTATCTACTATATAATGTGATATATAGTACCCCTAGTCTTACTTAAAAAAACTGGCTTAAATTGAATAATATCTTAGGGGATATTATGTGAAAAGAAAGGTACTATAAAAAGGGATACATTGGAAAAGGAATACTAATCATATGATAGTATTATATAATTAGATAATCAAAGAACTTTAACAGTTAAAATTCAATTTAACAAAAGTAAAAAGTTTTTTACTAATTTAATAAAATATAAAAATTTTAATGAATTTAATTTAATGATAATTAATATAAAAGTAGATCAGAATAATAACATGAAATTCATTTGCGTTAATTTTCTTTTTACATTCTTATTTTCATTATTATAATATAAATTCATTACTTTATTTCTTTTATATAAATGAGCTTATGTGCAAATAAAGAAATAACTGCTCAACAATAACAGAAAAAAAATGAAGAAGTTAGAATGCATATGAAAAAATTGCAATTATTGTGTATTATAAAAATAGTTATAGTAAGAATAAGACAGCAATCAAGTTTAACATTTAAATAAAGCAACTTTGAAACTGGATATCTAAAAAACTACAATTACTTAAAGTACAACTAGGTATAAAATGTTTAAATAGAGGTGCATCTCCAAAATACACTACTTTAGAAACTGCTTTGATCACTTAGATAAAAGAATAAAAAAATAACCAAAAGGCAGTTTCACAAAGTATAATTCAAATAAAAGCTAGAACACTTGCATAATAGCATTAATGGTAAATTATATGTTCTGGTATTTAGTCTTTTGCTTTCAGTAATAAGTAGTTAGATGGGTTAATAAGTCAAAATAATCTGATTAATTGTCATTATACTATAATTATATAATATTTACCTGATGATTTAATCAAAAAAATAATAAGTATTTTTAGTATTTATTATATATTGTGATCGGGTGTCGATCTTAATGATCATAGATCTATAATTGTATAGCAAAGTACAAATGTTGATAATGTCAAACGTATTTAACATATCTAGCATATTTAATATAGCTAATATGTCTAACATATCAGATATATCTAACATATTTAATATAATAGATATAGTTAATATAGTTAATATAGTTAACATAATTAATATATTAGATATATCAAAATATGTAATAGAATAAATATAAATACAACCCCTTTGTTAATTAGAAGAGACAAGATTAACAGCTATATAGAACCTTTCTCTTATAAAAGATAACGCAATGCTATTCTTCACCTCATATATCTTTGTTTCTTATTTCTCTTTTCTTATTTCTTTCATATATTATTATTTTATTATTTACTTTTATTTTAATAAAGTATTTCTTATTTCTTATCTGAAACTCTTCTTAAATTTACCATGATAACTCTTAACTTATGATTGAAACCGCTCACGTCTAATAACTTGATCTAATACAATAAACTGATAGCGAATTAGTCAAGATTATTATAAACTAACTGAAATTACTATATAAACTATAAAAGAGTCAATCCTCTGATACTGCATTTAATAGTTATAATCTGAAAAAATTGCACATTAACAATATCGATGTATATAGTATGATTATCCTTTAGCATTAATTAGTAACATGAATGAAACTCCAGTATCTTTTGATCTGCTAAGCAATACCACTATTAATGAATTGGAAGTATAATTAATTAGCATTTATATAATAGGATATGAAAAAACTAACTTTACAGTAGTTTTAACTTGTATAGCCGATGGAATAAAACTTCCACCACTTGTAATCTTTTAAAGTTTCGAATGAGTCGAATCAAGTCAAGTTTAAAGACCAACTTTATTCAACTTATTTTTTTTGAGTTGAGTTGAGTTGAGTCAAGTCAAATTTATTTTATAAAATCTTTTAATTTGATTTGATTCGAGTTATATAAATTTTAAACTCAACTCGATTTGACTCGACTCAATTTTAACTCAGTTCAATTTTGAAAAAAAAAATAATAAAAAAAATGAAAAGATTGGGAGGGGGAGGAGGAAAAAGTGAACAATTTGAGTCATTGTTCTTCTTAAATGATTTTTTTATTGTTCAAGTCGAACGATTCAGGTTATCATTCTTCTTAAATGATTTTTTTTATCATTCAAGTTGAACGATTCCTTATTGTTTTTCTTAAATAATTCCTTATCATTCTTCTTGAACGATTTTTTTATCATTCAAGTTGAACAATTCCTTATCGTTCTTTTTGAACGATTTTTTATCATTCAAGTTGAACAATTCCTTATCATTTTTTTTAGAATGATTTTTTTATCATTCAAGTCAACTCGAGTCAACTTGAGTCAACTCGAATCAAGTCAAGTTTAAATTGAGTTAAGTTAAATATTTAACTCAACTTGAATTTGGCTTGACTCACAAATTATTGAGTCAAAAAAACATAAACTCAACTTGATTTGAACTCGACTCAGCTTATCTGACTCATGAGTTAACTCAACTCATCTGGAACTCTATAATCTTCAAACTCAAAAATATTTCGTGAGAGAATTTTTCTTTAGAAGTTATTATTTGAGCAAACAAATCAGAATAGATGAATAAAAATAAAATGTTTTATTAGATCGAAAATGTTTTGATTAAATATGCAGGTCTTTTTAATTTATATTCATTATTAATTTTATATATATTTTCTGTATATATTATTGATTCTGCTAAAAGACATTTTGATGAAAAAAATACTAATATAGCAGTTATTTCCAAAGAATTAATATCTTGCCTACAGCCTTTGGATGTTTTAGTAAATAAATTATTTAAATCAAAGATAATAAAATTTTCTTTTAAGAGTGTTAATTTATTAATAATTAATTAATAAAGATAAAAGATTAGAGGAAAACAAAAAATTAATTAGTGATTACCTCTGATTTTAATTCCTTTTTGGCTATTATAATCCTTCAATTTTCTTTTATTATTACCCTTTGATTCCCTTTACTAATTACCATTTGATCTGCCTTATTATTATTATTCATTTTATTGTTATTCTTTAATTCTTTTCATTTACTTTAATTTTAATTTTCATTGATTATTATCCTACAATTCATTTTTCTAACTTTAGTTTAATTCTATTTTAAAATAATTTATTCAATAATATACTTTATTTTATTTCTTTTTTATCTCTATAGATGCGACGAAATTACAATAAATAGATGACAAAAATAATAAAAGAACTAACACTAACTGATAAGATCAAGAGGCTTTTATATGAAATTATATTAAATTGGATTAAAGATTTATAGAATATGATTGATATTAATTTAGTTAAACAATTTTTCAAATGCTATGGCATTTCTAACAAATGTGATAGAATTGAAGATGATTGGATTTTTAATTATGATCATTTTGAGCGAAAAAATCAATTAGATGATGAAGTAGAAGTATTATTAAATAAAGAAGATGAAGGAGATAACGAATCTGAAAATGATGAAAGTGATAATGAATATTAAAATGAAAGTGAAAGTGAAGAGGATAATGATAATGATAAACAGGATAATGAGAGCATATATGAAAAGGAGAATAGATATGATGAAAAATATAATAGTTATTATGAACAAAAAATAAATTATGCTAATGTATAGGATGATTAATAGCTTAAATTATGTAATAATATTATATTATTTGTAAATCTATTAATAAAGTTTTAATAAATAATTTTCTGTAAAAATTTAAAAATGTTATCTTATAGAATAAATTTTGTATAAATTTTGATTATTTATTTATTTATAAGTT